TGTGATATCCCAACAACTCTCGACGAATTCTGGCAGTGAAAATGAAAGTAGCGCGATAGTGCTGGAGAGGCTGTAGATGTCTTGTTGAACATTGTAAGTATCTCTAGAACTGCCCGGATCGAGCATAGGAGGTGTCACCCGCACGGTGGCCGCTGTTCACTGCCATATGCATGGATTTTTCGTTCCCCACAAGCCATACTGTACCCGGAATCTTTGTTTGTCGCCCGAAAGCACGTTGGTGAAGACGTGACGCACAAACAGTTACGGCATGGGGAACAAAGGCAGTGAAGGCAGGGCAAACTGCACTGGAAACAAGTGACAGAACGCAATGGAGTGAGTAAGTGTCAAAACGTTTGGCAAACTTGTGGTGCGTGCAGGGTGCCTGAAGTTCACGGTCTATGCTTTTCAGGTGACGTTACATGACTCATATCCACACCAATCGTTCAATTGCAGCTGTCGGATGTAGACAGGCGCAATCTCGGATCAAGTTCCCTTCAAACTGTCATCGTGGTGGCGGTGGTTGTCGGTTTTCGTCTATTGTTTTCCTTTTCAACATTGTTCCACGCTGTCATGGTTTTGTGTGCGTGGATTTTTTTCATATTTGCGCTGCGTTTTCTCGCGCGCTCCACCGTTCGCCGCCGCGTGCCAGCACTGCTCCATGAGTCAAGTGCAACCTGCCACTGGGAAGCGGTTTTCGCGAAGGAAGCAACTTCAGAGTTGTCTCTGGAGGGTGGTGGCTCTGATTTGGTTCGCGCTGCCCTTGGACAGAGCAGGGCACTGGGCCAGCTAGTTGGTCACATTGCCAAGTCGGTAAGGTTGGTGGCCACCTGCACCATCTGCACCACTTCCACACTGCCAGCGATCCCACGACTCCCGATGGCACGGTGCACAACTTTGAACGGATCGAGCAGTACTTGCCCCAAATGTGTTGGGAGTGTTTTCAGGAGAACCTCTTGGAGTTTTGTTGAAGCCTTTCGCTCCAAAAATTGAACCTTAGTCTCAGACACACGTGGAAGGAATGAACTCGGATGAATCTTGGATGTTGTTTTGGTCAATGATGTTAATGTATGTTAATGTGCCAGTACAATTGGCACCTCGGGCACCTTTGATGTCCTGACATGTGCGTGGATGTGGCCGTTTGCTGGCTCTCAGCTGTTTGAGCGTGTGTTCCGCCCACGCGCCGGAGACATGTCGCACAGGGTTCAGGTGGTTACGAAGCATGTGCTGGCGCCGGCGCCCGTCGCTAGTAAAGAGGCGGCGGACAGATGCCACTGAAACGTTGAATTGCAATCAGGACTTGGACGGTCCAAGGAACTCGATATTCACACCGTGTTTCATTGCGTTGCACAGCGCAAGTATACTTTGTGTTATGATATATGGTTGTTTATGCCATTGCCTTGATGTACTTATCACCCCCTGCCACCTGCAACACCGAGCGACAACCAAAAATCACGAAAGGTAGCGGAACAACAATTAATTATCCGACATTTCATTTTAGAGGCCGGGGGGGGGCCCACCCCCCTCCCCCCTTTCAACTCCACCGTGGCGCGGCTCTTTGTCAACGGCCACAAAACACCATAATACCAGCGTTTTCAGCCAACAGTACCTCCAAACCACGCAATTTACATGGTTTTCTGCGCCTGTCCGGCCAAAAACCTCGTAAAAACCGATTGTTTTTGGATGTTTTTGGTGTCTAAGCTTGAAAAATGGTCGCAAAATTGCCAAAAAATTGTCGGAATGGTAATTTTCGGTGTTTGGAGGCTTCTAAGTGGCACAAACCGACGGTATTTACACGGGTTTGTGCACCTTCCCGGCACAGAACCCTGTAAATTGCGATGGTTTTGGGCTGTGTATGCTTCAAAGTGGCCACAAAACACCGTAAATACGAGTGTTTTCGGCTCCTCCTGTGTTCAAGAGTGGCCTCAAACCACGCTATTTGCAGGTTTTTTGTTGCGGAACGGGTTTTTTCGGCGCTTGGAGGCTTCAAAATGGCACAGAACGACGGTGCTTACGCGGGCTCGTGCGGCTTCCTGGCGTAAAACCTCGTAAATTGGGATGGCTTTAAGCTATGTACGCTTCCCGTCAACTCCACCCTGGCGGGGGTCTTTGTCAATAGCTATAAAACACTATAAAACACTGTCAAAACCTGTGTTTTCAGCCCCTCCAGTTTGCAAGAGTGGCCTCAAACCACGCAATGGACAGGGTTTTATTTCTGTGGCTGTCCGGCCAAAAGCCTCGTAAAAAACCGATGGTTTTTCAAGTGTCTAGGCTTCAAAAATGGTCGAAAAGTACTTGGTGCTTCGAAAAGTGGTGCTTTGCCTTAACTTTCAACAGGGGGCCCTGACCTCGGTTACGCCTGATTCCCTGCTACCTTTCGTTCACCCCCTCCTCTTTCAAGTTCCACATGATCCGCCCTAGAAAACACACATTCGTTCAATACGAAGTGAAAGTGTGTGTGTGGGGGAATGTCTCATCTATCCCTAGCAAGTATGCAAAACAACCATTCATGTATATATATATATATATGACAGATCAAGAATCCGACATTTCAAGATCAACCGCTCTGCAGTTTGCCGTGTACGAGTCTGGCACACACTTTGGCGTGACGCCTGACTATGAACACAAGTGCCTGGGCGTTCTGGAGTTCGGGTTCCGTTGGGCAAAACGTTCCTTGCAGTACAGTTCCGACGTGTTGCCAGGGGATTCTTTTTTGATGATCGGTTTGTTTTGGTGCATATCACAATCAGGGTTCTTCAACGGCATGGCTGTGGACGGGCAGTGGGAACACCACATGGCTCGTTTGCTGGGCCAGCCGCACGGCCTGCGTTGGGTGCTTCTTCACCCTACCGCCGGAGGTAGGAGTCAATGAAAGGTGGGTGAAGGAAACCGCTCCTAGCGTGGCCCTGATTGTTTGGGGGATACTTGTTCCTGGTCAATTTGTTGTGTTTTACACTTTTAAACATGGAAGATCGTTGAGAACTGACATGTTTTGGTCTAAATGAGTGTTGCCAACCAGTTACGTTCAAGCTGGGCCCCATGCCGCGTATGCATGCCTTATGCGTTGTGAACTTTGTTCACCTTCGCGTTGCTTTGTGACGTCCAACACGTCGTCCGTCGTGTTTGGGGTTTGGGCGGCGGGCTCTAAGTGCAGGTGGCCCTTTCCAGAGGCTGGCCCCCTGGCCGAGAAGAGCGCTCCGCCGGGGCACCCGCCGCACCGACGGGTGTGTGTGGAAACGAGAGGAGAATCGGAGCGGAGAGCCGAGGGGAGCTGCGCGGCGAGTTGAGCGAGAAGAAGTGAGGTTGGTTTTCGTGACCAGGGTGACCAACCGCTGCGGTATTCCGCCAGAAGTGAAACCGGCAAACACGCATGTCATTGACCAAGTTTGAAAGTTTGGGACGTCATGAATCTACGGACCACAAGGCATGCGACGTCATGCGACCAAGGCCAATGTGTTTCCCCATGATGCTAGAGCAAGCATGCCAGCGTGTGGGCAAGGACCCGAGGGCCCTGGAGGCGAGTTCTTTGGGATGTGCAGTCAAAATCAAGGCTCAACACACAGTCCAAGAACGTTGGTCGCCCGCGTGCCGTTTTCTTTAGTTGTTCCACATTTGGACCTTGCCGGGACAAGTGTTGCTTTGTGCAATGATAGGTGCAAGTAGACCAGGCATTCTTTATCAGCGTGTGGTCAAACAATGGCCAACCCAGCCCTATAAGGTCCAAGTCCTTTTGGTGGCTGTGGTGGCAATCACTTTTGGAAGCCCAACTTTGTACGGTTCTCATGTACTCGGTGTGTGCCGTCCACCAAATTACGGTTGACCAGGGCACTCAGTTATTAATTTCATTTAACCCGAAGAATGCCAGAGGATGGGATTTAATTGGTTTACTCGAAGTGTGTGTTTGATCAATCAGGCACATGATTTTTTGGTGAAACATAATCAAAAGGTCGCGGAGATGTTGGACTCAATTCATCATCAAGATGAGGTAGGCCATCACACAGAATTGATAACACCTTTTTTCGGCTGACTGGAGCACCAAACTATGGGCAGTTGAGTACTGAGTACTGGATCAAACCGTGCAAGGTTATCACGACATTCAAGGTTGAGTATAAAGACCATGGGAAGAATCTGATGGCGGAATAGGGCAAGGGAAACCCCAGCCTTACTAAAACCACCGATCGCAAAACAATATTTCGGGCGGGTGTGCCTTTGGAGGGGGGGTGGGCTAATTTGGTGGTCAGGCTACAGGTTTGGCATGGTTTGGGAACATGAAGGGACCAGGCTGGAAGCACATGAATCACAGCGATGTGAACGTGTTCCATTCTGGGTGAGACCCCCATCCTATTAATGGGTGTGTTTTGTTTCATTTGCGGGGCGTCAGACGAACTGGGAGACGATGTCACAGACGAGGACAATGTTCAAAATCAATGTGAAGGGTTTGCGAGTACACGCCTAAATTTGAAGAACATTCATTCATTCAGGCCCAAGCTACCCCTTGATACATTTTGCAAACACCTTCACCTTCTATGTTTTTCTCTATTGATATTGAGTGGGGCCTTACTCAGGCCCCACCCGACGTGGGGGTCGTCGTCGTTGTACTGATGAGATCCTGGAGTTGTAATCGTCCATGCATGTTGCTGTTCCCTATGTATCGTGCATTTGGCTGGACTATATTTTAGTTTTTTTGGTACTACGTAATGTTTAGATCTATGGTCGATATTGTATGGGATCATCTACGATCGTGACCCCACAGATCGAAAAGACAGAAGTCGCACATCTCCGATCAGCTGAAGCAAGTTTGCAGCGATCAAACTCCCAGAATGCGGAGAACATTGGCCCGCTGCCACGTGCCAAGTCATTTCAACATGGCGACTCTGAGAGGTAAAACACCATTGGACAAGGTCCATTCATTGGAGAATGTGTTCCCACTGGTTGCACACAGGGTGTTTCTTATGCCGCTGCACGGGTCTGCACGGTGTCGCTGGTGTTCCCACCCTCCACTTTGTGAAAGCTGGTCAAGGACCATCTCTTTTATTGAGAAGGACCATCGTTCCCAGGTCAAGGTGCCGACTGCGAGAGTTGGAGCACCACCAACTTCCCAAGAGAGAGTGAAGTGGCTACTATATACCCAAACAATCCGTGTATGACATGCACACCTACATTGACCCCGTTTCAACCACCCAAATGTATAGGCATATACCGGATCTTTTGCCATACATTGAGGAGTGTTTGGGTTTGGGATGGTTCACCCGGAATTCCATCCTGGGAAGCCTCCATCCTTGGGCCTTCGGAAGCGAAACGGCAGCGGTGAAGGAGTTTGCCTTGGCGGCTGAGAAGCCGGTGCCACACGTCCTGCGCCCTGGTGAAGCTCCATCCTTGCCATGGGAGGTGGGACCAAAAGGAAGGGTGGAACTGGAGAGGCGTGAGGCCAGCGTTGCCCAACTGCGTTGGTTCAAACGCAACGTGGGACCTTTTCGCTCTAACTGGAAGTCCTAAAAATCAACAGCAGCAGGCCTGTAGCTAGTATGGCGCTTGTTGGACAGCTCGGCCGATGCCCATCGCCAACTGGTGGTCAATCCATCCTGGAATGTTCACTTGGAGGTCACAAAAAAGAAGTAAAAAGCACCAAGGCAGACCAATTTCCACCTGAGCCTTCCCTTTTTCTTGCCGGCGTTCCCCGCAGGAATGGAGCAAATGGACCTGGAAGGACTATTATGAAGACTCGAGGAAGCTTGCCAAGGCCTTCATGCAGCTCCTTAACTGAGTTTGGACTAGTTTGGCTGCGCCATGGGCAGCCTGGATGCTGACCCTTTGGAAGATGGAAGGGTTTTACCCTGAAATGTTTGTGGGGTAGACTTGCACACACTTGATGAATCTTGAAGACTTGGGGTTCGTAGCCCTCACCAGCACTGCCACCTGCAAGCAGCGCCACCTGGCCGCTGACTCGGCCTCTGAGTTTCGGTGTGGAGCAGTTCGGGAGCGTCACTATCTTCGGTTTCAATGTCGCGACCTCAGAGACCAGGGCGACCAGCGAAGGGGCGGGCGATCAGGAGTGACCAAGAGCACATCCATCCCCCCAGGTGCCAGGTGATGAAACCAGTGATGAAACCTTGGGTCATGTTGCATCCCTTCTTGTGTCACCATGTCATATCACGCATGTCATATCCCACCACAAATGGCCCTCCGACTGCCCGGTCAGCCGGACTGCCCCGGACTGTCCCGGTCCGCTCAGGCGCCGGAGTGGGCCTTGAGCGCCATGGCGGCGATGATGTGCGGTGGCCGGGGCTCCCGGATGGCGCGCCTGCGGGGGCTCTCGAGCGATGCATCGCCACCGGGCCAGGTCGATTGCTTATGGATTTGCATTACAACTTATGTAACTTATGTATAGTCAGAAACCTCCCAAAGACTCCCTGGAAGAAGGGAGAGTGGACCGTTGGTGGCAGAGTGTCTCCCTAAACAGCAAACCCGCAGATTGACTCAAGAAGCGACGCTTCTTGTAAGTCACGTGATTGGTACGGCCATGGTTTTGGCAATACCGTGATGCCGGACCTGTTTGCGGGAATGGTCGGTCAGGGTTTCATTGGTACTCAGTGAACTGTGAAAGAGATTGATGAAAGTGGCAAGCACTGTACTCCCAAGCATTTGATGCATCCAGATACGAAACCAAAGATGAAACGTGGAAGGCATGAGCCCTTGAAAGACTGATGGTGAACATTTCTATTTCTTGTTCACCATCATTTTAGTCCATACACACCAGTCTTAGTCTTAGTCAAGTGGAAGGCAGGAACTCAGCAACTGTGTATAGACTATAGGAATTTTGTTCATGTTTGTTCCCCTTCCATGCGTGCGGGAAGTGTCAACGTGGCTTCACTCGCCGAGGCAAGTTCGTTGGGATCTATTCCACCGACACGGCCGAGCAGGTGGCTTGGTGGAAGAACATGCCAACTGCTGCAGCTGGAGCCAGACGTTTGGTTGTAAAGTGTTTTTGTGGATGTTGACAGGCCATGGAAACATGATATAGAAATTACTTGTCAAGGTGTCATTCCATGATAGTAGCTGATTCCGCAGCACCACCGAGGCAGGCGGAAATGGCCACAGAATTGCATGTTTGATTTGTTGGTTGTCAACTTGAAACAATGAATAGACATCATAGTGGCATGGTCCTGGAATTGCCGAGCGCATTTGATGTGATTAGGACCAAGCATTTTGGAAAAGTTCCAATTTAAACATGTTCTCGCATTCTGGTTGAGGGATCCGGTTTGGGTCGTCCCAACCGGTGGAGAACGTCTCACCCACATCCGGTATCATCCGGTCTTCCCTTGCAGCGACTCCAACGAGGTGCAATACAAGGTGGATCACTCCAATGCTGCAGCGGCTCGTCATTAAAGCAAGGTGCTTCCGAGGGAGTTGGAACACCTCCAGCGGGTTGAGGGTTTAAAGAGAGTGAAAGAGGTGTTTGAAAGGTGTGAGTTAGCCTGGGGGCTCTATGATCTGTTCTTACACTCCGGTGAGTTGAGTAGATGAGTTCATGAATGTCCACAAGTTGAAGCAAGGAGGGGTGTACTGGTGTACTGTGAATGTTTTATCTCCTGCTGTTCCAATACATACCGGGCCGTTGCAGGTGTCCTTATTCCTTGACCTAAGTACAGTAGTGTTGTAAAAAAATCGCCCCCCAAAAAAACATATTTCAACCCTTGGTTGCGTTCCCTGGCCACTCGCACGCGGCCACTCCGACGCCCAGGTGATGGTGGTGGATAGCCACGCGGAGTTCGCGGCGACGGTGGCATACATCGAGGCTGCGGCGTCCGGACGCCGACGTTCGAGTCGGGACCAGACGTTCGCCCTTGGGGTTCTGCGTGAAGGTTGGCAGAAACCCCCAACTGCCTCAAGGCCCACATTGGGGTGAATGAATCCCGGAAACCTGGGAATTTCGGGCCGCATGTTTGGGGATCGACCGTTTTTCGGATGAGCCAATCACGCTTCTCGACCTGTTTTGGATTGGCCACGTAGACCACGGTCCAAAGCCCATCGAGTCGAACAATTGAAGCGAGCGGAACGTTGGCCCTTTATTCTAATACATGCTTCAAGTGGAGGAACATCCATGGATTCCATATGGGTTCCATATGCAATGGTTTTCCATAATATGGCTAACCGTCAACCGGTCCAAGGACACTCTTTGAGTGCATGGTCAAAGAGTGGATGGCATCAGTTATGATTCAGCAAATGGTCCCTGCCTGTCTTGGCAGAGTTTGCTTGGGCCCCAGAGCCAGGACAGAAGATACAGAAGAATTGAGGGCATTGCCCATGCAATGGGTGATCGAATTTGATATGTCACTCCCCAACATCGAAGCCGGATCCTTTAAATGTTCCGCTGGGCTTGGTGTACCAATGTGCTCCTTCGACCTGGCCAGGAGTTGACTTGCCTCAATGCCATCTTTTGTTGGGGAACCTTCGAGCCTGCGGTCCTCAAGCGGCCCCTTGGCACGCGCAAGGCCGCAATCGCGCGGGAGAGATTTATGATGATTTATACGTTGGTGCCTCACCGGCGACGCCCAGGAAGGATGGCAGCGAGTGTAAGGTCATGTCCTTCAAGGAGCATTGAATTATGGCCGATGGAAGTGCCGATGGAGATTTCATGTAATTGGGCAAGGGGAATTGAACAAGGTGTACAAGAAGACGAAGACCTGAAGTTTGTGCCCTCATACCCCTTAAGGGCCGGGTCGATCACCACCAGAGAAAACTTCTGATTCTGATGGGCGGAAACTTCATATGGTTCTCACCCGGGTGCTTCAAAGCGAATTTCCTCAAAGCTTTGGGTCGCTGGTCGCGTGGTCAACGGCTCGATTCCGATGCGTCTTCCATGGGGCGCTGGCACCCAGATGTACAAAGCCACAGTGCCCAAGATGAATGAGCTGAATGATCTGAATGAACCATGGAGATTTGGGGACTGTGGCATACTGTGACTTGCTAATAGGGAATGGATGAATTGGATGTGAATCCTCCTTCGGCACATTGGATGGATTTATATAGATTTAGAATGATTCGGAGCATCGTAACAAGGACACTATCAGGTAGAGGCCATCGCAAGCAGGTTGGAGGCCATCGCTACGAACGTAACAAAGAAGGCTAGTATACCAGGAGTCACATGTCGGGGTGGTTTCTAGTCCCTAAGTGAGTGGATAATGGGGACCCCTATCCTCCAAGTTCGGCACCCCGTTTTAGTCTTGTGACTCCGGCAGGAGGCCTTGCAACTCGGCGAGTCTCAGGGCTCCGATGAGGCCTTGGCGCAGCGCATGCAGGCGCCGGGCATGCGACCGATGTGACGCCATTGGAGACTGTTTGACCGATACCGCGGACGGCATGTCTATATAGAGACATAGACATGATGGAATGCCACCAGTAGTGCCACCTGACGTGTTTTCTTTGGGTTTTCTTCTGGGTCAAGCACAGGTGAGTTTGGATGGAACAGGTTCAGGCCTCCGGACAGGGGTTGGGGTCTCAAGTTGTCGGCTTTGAGACTGGGTCTCAACAATCAGGTGCTAAATGGACAAAGAAATGCAAAAAAAAGAGTTTTTAAACACCTGAGGGTCCCAACAAATACATCCAGATGTTAGTGGTGTTTCTTAAAAAGGCCTGGGTGTATTTGGTTGGTTCACCCAGGCGGGTCTGGGTCCCATACATCCCCGGTTCTACATCCTCACCTGCACGAGGCCATGAGGCCGGGCCACGCCATGGGGATCATCTACACCTCTGGGACCACCGGGCAGCCAAAGGCGGCACCGCGGCGAGAGGGTGAGGTTCGGTTGGGCGGAACACGGTGGAACATGGCGAAACAAGGGGAGGATGGGAGAGGGGAGGGTATGTGTTGCTGCTGGAAGAACATCCCAGAACCTTCGATACAGAAGCGCTCAATCGCTTGTAAGTCGCTGGCAAGCAGCACAAGGTGAACCCGCTTCTGGGATATTGTTTGGTTCTTTTTTGTCCAACTCCTTTAGCGAATCCAAGAGAGCATCGTGAATCATGAATCATTACGCTATACACCGTTGACCTTTAGCCCTTCCAAATGACATGGATATGCTGGCAACCCTGGTGGACTATTTGGCACTCGCAAACTGAAAGATCATCATTTTTCCATAATGGTCTCCATCTCCGTGTGTCAGTTGCACTCGCCCATTTGGCGCTCTGCAAGCCGCTCGACCGACTTTGGCCCAGACCCTCCTGACCCCTTGAGCGACTCGCGCGGGTTCCAAAATGAGCAATCGGGCTCAGGTCATGATCCATCACGACTCCGCAGTGGCACAGGGGGCCATCGGCACCTTGGACAACACCGGCGTGCTGGATGGCGCCTCGGCCTCCGTCGGAGCCGATCCGGTTCGCCGGTCGGCCGGGACACAGGGAAAGAAGGAGATCAAATGAATCAAATGTGGCCAGTACTTAGACCAGTAGACCAGTGTAGATCTCGTAGGCCAGTCGACCAGTCGGTTCGTTTCACCCTCGACCAGACCTTTCGTTCGGGACCATCGACCCGTCGACCCCGAGAGTTTGGTTTGGCGACCGTTTTCAGCGACGTCGTGAAGCGACCACCTGCGGTGCCGTGTTGAGTGGCAAAAGGTCAAGAGCCACGTGGCTGGATTTGGATGGTTGTGCAGTGTGAGAGCCCATGGCACAATGATGTTTTGTGTTGGGCGACGGATCAGAGTTGCGCCAGCGGCACCGGATTCACAAAGTGAGTCGCTGTCGTCAGACTGCGCCACCAGTTTCATCCAAAATTAACTACACTCTGAACGAATTGCTTTCAGAGTGTTCCTTTCCCAGCTTAATACGTGTCAGGTGTGTGCCAACTTTGATTGATGCGAGGCTGCACCACCCATCAAAGCTTACGATAGACAATGCATCTTCCGGGAGGCTCTAATATGGGATCTCCTGTGCACAGGCCACCTTGCCAAAGGTCAAACCTTGCACCCAGTGAAGTCAGCATGCAGAAGGAAGTGGAGGATAGGCCCTTCCTGAAATGCATGTTGATTACCAGGTTCCCCGGAGCCCACCCATGCTTCAGCTTCCAACGTTGATTGCGGTGGGGTGGATTTCCGCTTCCAATGCCAGTCCGCACGCGTTCCGCACCCGAATGACCGGACGGACCCGGCAACTCTGAGGATACCCCGCACGAATCATTTCATATTTGCCTTTATCACACATTGCCGGGTCTTTGATGGACCTCTTGCTACTTGGCCTAGTACTGGGATGAGAGGTCTCCTCTTTCAGGAGCGCTGAGTTGACCAGGAAGGACCCTTCAAGCTTTCAGGAGCGCTGAGTTGGAGTTATGGAATAAAGATGGACAAAGTAAAACTGACGTTCTCGGACTTGAAGGGCCCCCCCATCACTGTGTTACTGAATATACCAAAACCACCCGACAAAAAACAACAATAGGGGATCCCGCGATTTCAGTTCTAAGTCTATATCACGGTATGATGGGCGGTACCTTCGAAAATCAATCCAGGGGTACTCGTACCCATGAGTTCATGGATTATTTGTTGGATTAAACATGTGCTGAGGTATGCAACGGTCCCCGTGGACCTTGTACCTAGATTATTTTTATCAGAGACATGTTCATGGTTTTAGAAAGAGACGTTTTCTACAGGATTATGCATGTGAAATCCATGTGCATGGATTAATACTGTACATTTTATATAAAAATAATCTAAGTGTCGTCCACTTGTTGTATTAATTTCTGAAAACTAACTGGAGGCTATGTGGATTATTTTCTACAGTAAATTAATCCAGGGGGTCTGGACGGGGGGGTATCTAAGGGACCCGCCATACGGTATGCGGTATATCATGTTTTTAGATGTTTTTAGAAGTTCTGTGGCAATGCCGCAAGGTCGTTTGCCAGTTCATTGGCACAACGATTGGAAAAGTGAGTGCCAGGATTCCAAGTTTTGACTAGCCGTCCCACGGGGATGATGGGGCCTGCCTTTTGACTCAACTAGTCACTAGTCCTTGTGGGTTATATTATGTTTCATGCCTCTTTTTGCCATCCATTGTCAGTCTCGATATGGCAACCTCAGCCATCTTCAGCTTCCTGAGGTTTCCAGTTTACATGGCCTACACGAAGAACCTTCACAGTGGCTCGACGAAGTCCTGCGAACGCACAGAGCCTGACAGGTTTCTGAAGCCTTCATCCCTGGCCTCAGAGCCCCACATCGCTCATGAGCATTGTACCATCGCTCTCGACAAGCTCCGATGCGAAGACATCCTTTGCGAAGACATCTCATGCCGACGGTTTTGAGCATGTTCCTTTAGGCGTGTAGCAGCTACAGTTTTCATCCAACACCCACGGAGCCCCTTGCATAGTCACCAGCATGGATCCTTTCAAGACACCAGGCACGGTGTACTTCGCTCGGCCCTATGATTTGAAAGAGATGACCCTGGCAGCTCGCCTCCAGTCTCTCGGCTCTAAGCCTCAGATCGGGAGACGAGGGCCTCTCAACGTAGGGGTTTTGGGCCCGGCGTTTGTTCCCGCCGCAGCCTGAGCGTTTGGGGGGAGCAACCCAACGCAGGGTTCTGGTCTGGTCATCCTTGTTCTTTTGGAAAGGCACGCAATGTAACCAAAGACCTGTGCACACATTGCACGAGACAGCATAGGTATGCATATATAGACTATAGATGTTCCAGTGGAATGCCCCGTCAATCATGTGTCGATTTTGGACGTTTGTTTTGAACACGTGAATGCAGCTGCCGGCTTAGGTGTGAAGCATCGCTTAAAGTGAGTGTGTTAAAGGATAATAATAATAAGCTTTGCATAGCTTTGCAAACATATGGGGAAACATAGAGAAACCCTGGTGGCGGGATACCTCTGGGAATCTGCATGCCAACATGCTTTTGAACATGCAGCCTATATGCTTTGATATGATCTAGAAAGATCCAGGGCCTCATCATCAACATGATCGCCACTGAAGTGTCACCACCCCATCTCCGTCGTTTCGCATGATGCATCATCCATGATCCACGCAACGACACTTGGCACCGACGGGAGCACTGCACTGAGAGGTTCGTGCGACCGACGATCTTCCTGGGTGTGCCACGGGTCTATGAGAAGATGCAAGCGAGGATGATGGCAGTGGCCTCCACCATCACAGGTGGGCAGGAATCATGTGCAAGAGTTGATGTCCTTGGAGTGAATGTTTATGCATGTTTACCGATCCAGTGGCCACAGATAAAATGTTTGGCAAGTTTTTTCTTTTTTTTGTGTGTGTGTGTGGGGTTATGTCTATGTGACTATAGGTCAACCCCACCTGGTCCATGTCACAGTCGCTGAGCATAGCGATTGAAGCACTGAACAACAACAAAGAGCACACCGCCCAGGAGGCAGTCAATGTTCCCTTCACATTTGATCAGGTTTGTGATTATAACTAATATATGGCAGTTTTGTTCGTGGCCCGGTTGACAGAAAAGCCGAAAGGGTTTGCAGTAGCATAGGTGTTTCCACGACTGGAGGGCTGCAAAGTGTTCCTACAGTAGGAGTTTCATGCAAGCCATAGGACTATGGGCGCTGGTCATTGACCGGAGGCCATTAGTACATGCCAGTCTCCCTCGGATTTCCTAGCTGAAGGCATCAAGAAGTCATTGGCAACCTGGGCCAAAGGAAAAGGCTTGGAGTACTGCAGGAACTTGCAGGCGGGCCGAAGGGGAAGGCAAGAAGGGGTCGACGTATGGAAGAAGCTGAAGAAGCTGGCACACTGCTTCTCGACTGATGGACTTCAACGACTCCTTTCGAACCCGGATATTTGGGGCAACAACTACTGTATGGCAACCTATCGAATGTGATCGATTTCAAATGGTTTCACGTAGCCGGGAGGTACGCAAGCCAAGAGCACCCTCTCCAATTGACCTGGAATCAAGTGCTTCGCAGCTACTGAGTTACCAGCGCACCCTCACCCACCTTCACCAACCAATGTATACACCGTTTTATAGTTGTTATATATATATATATACAAATACTGTAACTATATATATCTCTATACAGTATGTATATAAGCGTCGAAATGGCCTGCAGCTTTGCCACAGGCGGGTGGCTCCAGGTCCAAGCCCTTCATGCACACCATCGCGGCCGGCTGGGCGGGTGGAGCGCAGGGTGAGGATGCAATGTGTTGGTGTTTGGCTTCAGAGGTCGTCAGACTTTGAGAAAACATGTGAAAGCAAGGTAACTTTTTGGTCTTGGGTGATGGTTTTGGATCCACACTTCGTAGCATGTTTGACGTGCTTGGTGTACTTAAATATGACGTCTAAAAGGAACTAAAGGAACCCGTGCACGCCTGGTCGTCAGTGTTTTGTGGTTTATTAAGCGCGGGCATTCACCGCGGCCCTTTATTCCTGGTATCGGGCCCCACGCTGCCAAGGACAAGCTGGTCTTGTCGAAAGCCAGAGAGGCTTTGGGGCTAGACCAGTGCAGGATCTTCATCGCAGGAGCGAGATGTCACCGGGTGACGGTGATGATACACATACATCCCAACCGGTCCCAACCTTTATCTAACGTTATTTAAAGATCAATCCTTAATGTTGGGTGTTCTGTGGTCTATGTTTGGCCGTTCGTCCACTATGTCGATGTTTAAGCCGACAGCCTAGAAGGGTGATCTTAATCGATCTTAATCGCTTTATCCATGTTGTTTGTCGTAGGCTCCGTGACCATCGTCCGGATCCATGTGTTTCGGTCATATGCGGTTGATGGGCGTGCAGACTTATATAGATGGATGGGAAGTCATTCAGCACTAGCTCCATTCACGAGATATTTTTGTGTTCCTTTTTGGCATGGCGCATGTGCCCGAGGCCAAATGCCCAATGTTCGACAAGAAAGGGGGGAGTTGCATGTGTCACCTCCAGCACAAGCACCCCAAAGTTAAGTTCCCGAGTCTGCCCTAGCACTTTCTTGCAGGAGCTGCACCCATCTCTCGGGAGACCTTGGAATACTTCGGCCAGCTGGGGATGATGATCCAGAACGCCCCTCGCACGCAGATGCGTGCAGATGGTGTGCATGAGATTGTGTAAGCAACAATGTTTTCGATTGGCGCGACTTTGTCCTCAGGTCTATGGCATGAGCGAGTCTGCAGGTATTGCCACCCTGTGCCACAAGGACTTCAATGAGTTTGGCAGCGTTGGCCAGGCACAGGGGTGGAGATTCTGAAAGTCTTTCAGGATTTACCCTTTCAGCATGCTGGGCATACTGCAGCCCCCAAAAACGAGATCAGCATGTGCTTCTTTCACAAGCTGAGCTACGTTCGTATGCAGATGAGTCCACCCATCATTGGCAGCCGTTGTGGAACGCGTGTTCTCACCAAAAGAGGAGGCGTGTTCTCGGGCTTCCGTTTCATGGAATCCTGCGAGTTCGTTCAGGCGCCGGAGGGTTTGGAGGTCAAGCTCTTCAAGACGGGAGAGAAGGGAGAGAACATCGAGGTGCGAAGTACCGGTGCGAAGAACTGTTCGTTTGCCACTGGCGCTGCGCTGGCGACGGATGTTTGGTCCAAGCAGCAATTGGACCGGGAAGGGCCGCTGCAACACGGAGTGGCGGGGGCGGGGACTTGCCCAGCCCGAATCCTTTGGACGGGTTTCGGTTTGGGGCTTTAAATCCGGTTTTGACGGACCAAGGTCTGCATGGTCTGTTGGGAGCGTTTAGGTGTTTGATTTCATGGAGCTTATCTCTGCACTGGAGAGCCTGGAGAGCCCCAACCTTTTTAGGGGTTCGAGACCATCTCTCACCTTTCCAGGGGGTCAGATCCGGAACACTGACTGTCCGGGACATCCAGGGCCTAAGAGGGGGTGTGCGTGTTTGTGTGTACTTAACACCCGTCGCCAGGGACACAATACTTCAATTTTATTCAATTTTACTGTACATAGCTCCGCAGGAGGGCAGTGGACCACTATCACTCACTGCCCAACGAAGACAGTGATAGATTGGCCTTGACATCCAGCAGGGACTCCTTCCAGACGTGCCTGCTTCGATCATGTGATGAACAAAAATTACTGTTTCTCGGACTCTTTCACCGTTCCGTTGTGAGCAGGGCTGTTGCAGGTTTTCAGGTCTTCAGCGCTCTAATTGTAACCTAGAGTTCTACTGCATCACCGCGAAACTCTGAATTTCTGCTCTTCCGAGCTCCTTTCTGAAGTGTGTGCCGCTGCTTATTCTTCCCATTGTGGTAGACTGTGTGATGCCCATTATTGTTTCTTTACTCCTGTGCATAGGAGAGGGTTTCCTGAATGTCCTTTTTGGACCAACTTCCCGCGCACAATCTCTTGCTCGAATCAAATCTTTGAATGTGGCTCACCCTCTGATTTTTTTGAAATTATGCTGCCAAGCCACTGCAACATCGCAATTGAAATCGTTTCACAACTTCATGTTCCAAATTATGGTTCGAAACACACCCAGATTTTTGCAGTCGCTTTTCTCTCCGTCTAGATGCGATTCCTACAGTAACTCGTTTTTTTTGCAGTCATGCTTTTCTCCTTCCAGTTGCGCTTCTCTTCTTTGCGGTATCTCTTTTCTAAAGGCTTGTTAGGTGTAACTCAGGCTGCGCCGGAATGGGTTTCTGGTGTCAAATTTCACCAGACGCAGTTCCAGACGGAACTTTCACTGGATCTTACTGGATCTCAATTCTTACTCAGGCAGTGGCTACACTTTAAACTCTTTCCAGGTATACCAGCCAGACCCACTCGAAACCACAACATGAATCATATTGAATCATTACATGTAGTAACTACTTACCTTTGCACAAAGCCACATGCAGGGTTGTGAAGCAAACGTGGCGCTTCTTGGTCGATGGTTCATCCTTTGTGAACTCCAAAAGATTCGCTGTTTCTTTCCGTGGTTCATTGATGTTTGTGCGCACGCTGCCGTGCTTTGTTGCCTTTTAATGCTTTGCTGGAGATTTGGGATTGAAGAGGACAAGGATCAAACAAAATATCGCTTTGTTCACCTGTAGGACAAAAGGTTTCAAAAAAGGTCACTGGGGCCACGTGTGTGTGTGTGTGCTGACCTCCAGCTGTGAGTGATTTCCATTCAGGTCCGAACGAGGAGAGCAGGGAGCAACCATGCACGATGGACTGTCCTCAGGTTTCTCAAAGCTTTCCGCCCACGCAAGCACAATGATGACACAGAAAAATTGAATGGGAGAGCGACCCTGCGGACAATCAATCCGAATGGCCGAATTTGCCGGGGTTTCGATCACGTGATGTAAACAATACTGCTTCTAGGGCTCTTTCACCTTACCGTTGTCGTGAGCAGGGCCGTTGCAGATCTTCAGGTCTTCAGCGCTGGGACGGTGCCTGTGGACAATCATGTCCACTGAAACATCCCAAACCCTCTTCAGAAGACTCTGAGCCCAAGTTGGGTACTTTACAGATGTGGCTCGACAAGACCCCAGGGACCGGCAGGTCTGAATGTGTCCTGGTGTTGAGAGCCATCGCCATATCTCCCCTTCCTTTGGACTCAGCGCCCTATTAGAACACTACGGGCCTGTATTTCAGCGCTCACGCTGCTCCGGCGAGGTCCCCAGATGTGCACCTGGGTTGAAAGTGGCACCTCGGCAATTGAGCTGGGCAGATGGGTTGGCCATGCATAAAAGGCCACCATGTCTATATGACAGGGTTGGTCCAGTTCTGCAGTTGGTTCATGGGTTTCTGGATGGACGTGAGGGAACCCATCGAATCTCTTGCATTCTTTTAATTCTTTTCTTTGAAACAAGGAACGACAATATTTTTTGTAACACCCAAATCACTCCCAGCCCTTTTTGTTCTTGTCACGTTGCGTTCGCTGTAGTAGCTTGTGGCCAGCGGCTAGAGTGAAATAATGTGAAGTAACCAACTCAGGTTTTGGTTTCTATTTGCACGAGGATGGAGTAGTTTTGAACTACCTCAAGCGTTTGAACACCTCTATAGGCAATAATGGATGAGCTGTCTTTGGGGAACCATGGGGAACCCGAGTGCTGCCATCCGCGCGGTGGATTGGAGCTCCTAGGGCCCCTCTCTCGCAGAGTTAAGGTGCCTGAGGAGAATCAAGGCCAGATGGGTTGCTGGCGAAACTGCAGACTCACCAGACACCTGCGCACACGTGCGCATTGCCTGCGGAGTGTGACACTTTGAGGAGTTGAGGTGTGCTGTAGAGTCTGTAGAGGAGTGCGAGTTGCAACATGGGAACAGGGATGAGATAGACCTTAGAACGTCTCAAATTTTAGGAAACGGTTGATTGCGGAACACGCATCCTGATTGTGAGTTGTTGGCTTATAGGAGGCACCATTGACATGGGTGTTTACGTGTCCAGTCACTGACTGGACCTTTGAAACCTCCAAGGATCTCCAAGGTGTTGACCAACCACCCTTTCTATGACTTGCTCCTTTGGGTGAATGGCTTGCTTTGGCCCCATCTCGCCTTCCGTGCAAGGCGAGATTTGCTTCCGTCTTGCGCCCAGCCGATTCATGTCGACGTGGTTGGCTCCGTTCGGTGCACAGCGATTCGCACGGGCGTCGCCGCCTCACCAATCATCCGTTGGCCGAGGCGGACGACACATCATGGCGGGCTACATGGCCAACCCCAGGCAAGAGCTAAACCGAAAGTTTTCGGCAAACGGCAAACGCAGTGTGGATAACAGCAGTATCCAGTGATCTGGGCTGCTCAGTCAAAACCAAAATCAATCCATATCAATCCCATACACTCCATGTAGGCCTTTGTTATCCTTTGTTATCGTTTGTTATTGTGCACCGTGATTTGCAGGAGTCTATGTAGGGATGGTTTCAGGAGTCAATGTAGGCGTATAGTCTAATACATATTTGTGGCTTATACCATAGGTGAATTGTTTGGGAGTGCGTTGGAAACGATTTCACTGCTTGACCTTCGGTGTCGCCTTCGACCGCCTGCGCCGTCAGCTCCCCAGGTTCGGTGAGGAGCATGTGAAGGTGGGGCGGCCCAAGGAGGTTTGGACTCAGATCAAAAGGAAAGATTCAGCAGTTCCAAAGGGGTGCATAGGCTGCATAGCTGCTTAGGCACTTCAGCTAAGGGGAGATGCAGCGCGGTGCCTGTGTCTCCCCTACTCACTGGGGATTTTCAAACACCATCATACTCGATTTTTGGAACTCCTGGATGATGGCATATCACAAGATAAAGCCTGACATCGTATGGGCCAGAGCAAAGAGTCTCCAAGGACCTTTCTGGGGTTGGTGTTCGCGTTGGGTGTTTGTTGCAACCACCAGGGGCTTGGCTTTCCGCCAGTCCAGTCAGTCGGGTTCCGCCCACAGATACAGATCCGCTGTTGGGTGGTAAGATCCTCGTGATTTGATGCTCTCGTCCCTCTCGCCATATATGGGATTGGAGGAGATCCCAAGTGGATTGTCATTGTGCATCTCCACATGTCTCAACAAAAGCTTTCGATTGGTTTTTCCCAACCAGAGGGCCGTGACGAAAGGCGACACAAGATCACTGGGCCATGTCAGATGGGTGTGTGACTCAAGGATTGGCAATGATTCGCTCGGATCTCTCAGATGCCATCCCCAAACCATCGCAGTAGATGCGAAGTGTTGCTTCCGAACATCCTAACACATGAGACCAGTTGGTGGATTGAAGGACATCACGGAGAAGAATGCCTCCACCATCGACCAATATGGCTGGCTGCACAGCGGTGACAAGGCCGCCCTCCCCGCGTTCCCCGGGGGCGGACACGAAGGACTGGAGGGAGGGAATCCCGGAGACCAGGAGCCACCAAGCCGGGGAGGTCAGAGCCGTTATAGCATAGCATACTGTACCCTAGGGCTCCAAGTCCCTCCTCAGAAGGTATTTGAACCCTCTAAACCCACCCCAAACACCTTCTTAGAAGGTACTTGGAGCCCTAGGGGTAGAAATTGTAGTAAGTGTAGTTGGCCCACCGCAGTTGATGATGTTTATGTCGGTTATGGTTGGTATTCTGCATTCGTGGACTTGAGAGTGTGGTGTTTATCTTCCAAGCAGCTTTGTTGATGTTGTTTGAAGTTGCCCCATTGAAAAGTATCCGCGCCAAGGTTGTAAGCCGTGAGGGGGACCATGAACCAGGAAGGCGTGACATGCGCCATCGTTTGTATTTAGCTCAGGCATTCCAGCCACCACATTTTGGATAGGGCGGCAACTTGCGCAGGGCTACATGGACACGAACGGCGTGGTGAGGATCACGGGCCGATACAAGGAGCTCATCATCGGAGCAGGCCCCTCCCGAAAAAAACGGGTGAGGGGAAGCGACTGCCGTTGGTTTGTTTGGCGCAGTGGCAGGAGGGTGGCCTTTCAGCATTTACTGATTTGACAGAATCATGTTTATGTGAATGGCATATGGATCCTTTGATGATCATTTTCCGAATGCCAAGCAGGTGGTGAACTCCACTTCCATGATTATTTCAGGGAGTGTAGGATCCTGGATTCTGCCTTGAATGGTTTGCCGCACGCACTGACACGCACCCATGCAGACCTGCAGGATCCTGCAGGTCTGGACCACTTGAAAAGCCACCTACTCGTGCCTGATGGGTTTTGACTTAAGACTAGGCCGAGTGGTGACCACATGGTGATCCGGAGTGCCAGGTTGGGTTCAACAGTGGCTTTGTAAGGTGATGATTTCTTGCGACCTGCTCACAACAGTTAAGCACACGGAGCAGCTTCATATAGCTTCATGCTAGTTTAAGGGAGCAACAGTTTGCAAGTAGTCCAGGGTCCAACAGGTGTTCGGACCAGCGAAGCTCAATTGTTTGGAAAGGGTTGAACGGGTTGGTGAGTCTTGCCACGTTGAGTCCAGGTTGGTGAGTCTTGCCACGTTGAGTCCAGGGAACTTGCCACGTTGAGTCCGTTGGTCATGAGTGGATGTAAGTCTCCTGGAAAGTTTGCTTGTTGCTGTTGATTTCAGTCAGACTGCGGAGTGGGAAGAACCAAGAGTGGGTCAGCCACTGTCAGCTTGACTAGTTCTGATTCACTGGGCCTGCGAAAAGCTTGAGGCACGTTTGCCATGTTAGGATGCAGTTTTGGGCTCTCGTAAGCTAGGCTGGAATTGCGTAACGAAAGCCCTGTTGAATATCTGAATATCTTCGTCACCCCACGAGTTCACGGCCCTACATATATGTTTGCCCATCTCCAAGCGGCTCTCACAAAGCACTTCACCCCAAGTCCCGAGTCCTGGGAGACTTTATTATATACTCTAAGGCCTCCAGTCGTACCTTCTGAGGTTCGGTGTTTTCCGGTGCCAGGAGGGTCCAGTCATACCTTCTGAGGTGGTACTTGGAGGTGTAGGGGATACCATGGTTTTCGCCACGTATCGTATCAAGTCAGCTCCGCAGCTCCCCCCCGGGTCTACTGAGTTTGATCGTGTCGCCGCATCGATGCGAGCAGGTGGCGAGAATATCGCCCCCGTGCCCGTGGAGGAAGCGATCAAAAAGTCGGCTCCAGCCTTGTCGAACGTGTCCCGACACAGCCGAACATGTTCGTTTTGAAAAGGGTGTGGAATGGTGTGGAGTATCAAGGGGTGTGTGGTGTGAGGGGAGGGAAGTGGGATGGAGGGAAGTGGGGTGTGTGAGTTAGGGATGGGGTGCTTTTCAAGCAGGTTGCTCGGGTTTGTGAGGGAAACTGTGGCTGGACTGAAGCAAGCGAAACGACTAGAGAAGTTCCCTAACATGATTGAGTTCTCTTAGGATCTCTTAGGTGTTCCAACTCAACTGTCTCTTTAATTGGTCCAAGTCACTGACCGGGATTCCGCCACGCCACGCGGAGTCTGAGGTGATGATGGTGGGCGACAACCGGAAGTACAACGTCGCCTTGGTGACCCTGACTGCCGAGGGCGCCACTGGCGAACTCCCTGGCACCGACAAGCTGGCGGGCGTCGCTTTAGAGGCGTGGTCCAGACACGTTCCGCGACGGTGCATGTTGGGGAGGTGGTTTTGGCTTGTGGGCTAAGGGAGGGCAGATGGAAGGCTGTGAAATGGAGAGTGAGAAAGAATGCATGTAAAATGCAACTCAACCTTGTGTTCGGAAGAGGGAGGGAGAGACAGAGAGAGAGAGAGAGAAAGAGAGCGACAGAATGCAAACAAATTGAGCTGTAAATGCGACCTACTCGGCCGGTCACGCCTGCTTGCAACTCGTGTAAATCCACTACTTAGCCACTACTTAGTCTACTTCCGACTCTGCAAGCAGTACCTTTTGCTTTGTGCAGTGTAGGGGAGAAGCGGTTAACCTGTACGTCTCTCGGATTGTTTCCACGTGACCTGCATGAATTCGATCAAGCTGCAACCAACTGAAACCTTTTTATATACAATGTTTTATACTTGTTTGTTGTTCTCATGTTTGATCTATTTTGATCTAATGTTAAATACAGGGCCTAATAAGGTGTTTGGAAGTGATTTTCATGCCGGTTCCAGGTGAACCCGGCGGTCAAGACCATCTCTGAAGCCATCAAGGACCGACCTTCATGATGTCGATATGCATTGATTCGGTCCAGAACAGCGGCGAACGGCGGTGGCGGTGGCGTTTGGAGTTCGTCCTAGGGGTTGGAATGCATCCAACAAGGTTGAAATCCATTCTTGGAGGGAAACCTCCCAAGACAAGACGAGTTTTTTTGGGGGGCCAGCACTCACATGCAGTGGCATGCACGAGCTTGTGGATGAGTTCTTGTTACTTGAGTAACCCGTTGAAGACTGGGTGAACAGATCGAACAATGAGGTCACAACTTAGCCGCGATGATCGCGATGGCGGCATCCCCCATTCAGTTGGATAGGTAGCATAATGGGAACCTGTATCACTGTAAGAGCAACGATATTCACATTCATTCTGAGAAACATGATTGCCTACTTGCTGGTCCAGAGGAAGCATCACGACATATCAAGACTATCCCAAACTCTTAGCTCCTCGATGTGAATGTGATGTTGCCAATGCTATGCATGCCGCTCAGGAGGTTCCTAATTGGTCGGTGCTTCTTACCGGAAGGTCGTTTTGCGGAATGGGATGCATAAGGGGAAGAATGAAGCGTTTGAAGCGCTGACATTGGTGCGGAAGACTGCTGTTGACTGCTGTGGTCCGTGAGTGGTGACTCCGTCGATGTCTTGAGCTTCTGCGTCGGAAAGACGAACACCCCAAAACGCTGGCCCAGCATGCAAAAGCAGGCCGGCTCATACGAGTTGACTCTCTACTGGATTGCCTTGTGAAAAGGGAGATGGGGGAATCCATGTAACATCGCTAAGTATTGATCCTGATTTCTCCAGACCCTAGAACTGCTTTGGGGGCTGATGCTACAATAAACAGGTTTGGATGAACGAGGCGTTGGTTCTTTCTTTACTTTGATCATCACGTTGTTTTTTTTCTGAGCCCTTGGGCTTTGACTGCAATCCATCCAAACACTGCCGATGTCTTTTTCAAGTGGGCGACCCACCAGCACTTTGGAATGGAATTATATCATGTGGTTCGTTGGTTGAAACGCATGCAAGTGCCACGCGCCCTAAAGAGAACTGAACTCAGCTTGCTATTGCTCAGCTTCAGATCCCTGCTTGGCGTTCTCTAAGTATTTTGTCAACAGGAGACTGCCACGAAACGGATATTTTCCCTCCCCTTGCAACTTACAATCAGCTCATTCCCTTCTAAATCATTTCAACAAAGGCATTCTATTCCTGTTCATGTCCGTTAGCATGCTGCAAAAGCAATTCCCAGGCCAGACTTAGACTTCCATCCACCATAGCACACAACCACCATCCATATATTTACACACACCTTGCCAAATCATGAGGGATTGCAGGCCAACATGTCACACAAACATGCACGTGATCTCATGGTTGTGTGGGTGTGTTTAAGAATTACAGTTGCGAAAGTGTTGAAATTACTTAAGTTGATTTGTTCTACGGTTGATTGAAGAGATTGTGGTCTTGCTGGGGCGTTCAATAATTTTCCCGATTCAAGTGCTTCTTGCCACATGTCCAGTGCATGGTGTGTGCACTTCTGGGCGGGTCTAGGTTTGAAGTCACACCCGCATGTCGCCAACCATCCGGTGGCAAATCACATGTCACCAACGGTGTAGGCCACGTGTGTGCAGGACCCAATTTGGCAGAAGTACATTCAGGATGCGATCAATGTGGCCAACAACGACCCGTCTCTTGTTTGCAATCGGGTACCTCCGCAGGCTGGGTGACTGGTAGATGCACCCACCAAGCCAAAGACAACCCCCAAGATCTACCTATATCTATATCATTCTATATCTATTGAATATCCATTTATCTACCTATCTGCATCTATCTACCTATCTTTATCTACTTATCTGCATCTATCTACCTATCTATCTACTTATCGATCCATCCATCCATCCAGGTTCCAGGAAAGGTCAAATACAGTGACTCTTTTTAAGTCTTTCATTCGCAGTTTAAGTCTTTGCTGGAAGGCTTCGCTTTTCCAAGACTTTGGAAGTTTAGGGTAGTACATATATATATATAATATATTTCCTAAACCTGGTGCAACTGCACCACCTTTGTTGTCCACTTCATTCGCCACATCGATTGTTCGCCTCATTTGTTTGGTTCTTCCTCTATCTACGTTGACTCAGGGCGTCTTCGATATTCTTCCATTTCGGTCGCCCGGGGGCAAAGCTGAGGAACGTTTGCATCAGCAACGCGTGGAAGATCCAGAAGTTTGCCATTGTTCCACGGGACTTTTCAATCCAAACAGGCAGGATGGTCCGAGCGGAAAGGAACGGAAGAGGACGGAAGGAAGAATGATGAGTTGCATTGGGTGGTGCTTTTCCGATGTGTCTGTTCCAGTGGTCTCGGAGTAGATGGCGCAAGCCCCAAAAGGAGGTTGATGTGGGCCCCCCATCGGTCGCAGACATGTTGGGGCCCCCCATGGATTGCTCCACAACGGTCGATGGTTGTCTAACCCCTCCAGGACGGTCGTTCGCCCCAAGGACGGTCGTTCGTCCGCCGCTGAGGCCGTCTCTGAAAGCTCCTTTTCTTGGGATGACTGAACCATACTGACTCATATTCTTCACGTATATGAGTCATATATGAGTTGAAACCACCAGCCAGTTGCGCTGGAAGATCTTGGGGAAGTGGGCGATGCGCAACAACTCGTTTGACCTTGGCTTCTCGAACGTCAGAGGCCATGTGACAGATGAGAAGTTGCGGCTGCAAGTGAGACCAACTTCTTTTCCCGGCAGACATCATTCGGGGGGTGCTTGGGGCGGAACATGTCCACCGGGAAGTACGCTTCAAAAGGATTTTGCCTCAATAGACAATTCAAGGACATACTGACATACCTCCAGGGCAAAAACTACCAAAAACTGAAACAATGACGGATGCCATATGCTGCCCACAAAATAATATGGACAAACAAAAATGCATGTGTTTTTGCCAGAAATTCGTTCGAGTTCTTCCGCCCACATATGCCCACGTGCACCCAACTTGCCCCAGGTGAGTTCACGCCCTCGCTGAAGCTCAAGCGGTCCGTGGCCGAGGCGACATGGACGCTTGGAATGAGAATGTCAAGTTCTGGTGGTCCACTATTTTTCCTCTTACTCCACCTTTCATGTGCCAGGGAACTTGGATTTTCCTGTGGTTGGTGCTGTTGTCCTTTCTCCCCCCTCGGGCAAAGAGCTTCATCCCCAAGATCCAGTCCGACGCCTCGCCGACAGACGCATTGGACGCCCAGGAAGGATTTGATTGATCCATTGTTCTGACGAAGACGTCCAGGCGAGCTTGGGCCTCGATGGATGGCGCGATTGCGCTTTGTAGGCGGTTTTTGGGTCAAGGACTGAATTGCATGGCATGGTATCAAGGAACTGCACTTCGAGGCATGGCCTGATAGGACTCGAAGCCACCGACATGGCCTGATCGGACCGGACCTAAAGCCAACGAAATGTGCGGAGAGAGACAGGTCGAAAGGTTTCGCATGGTTCAAACAGACCGGACACCTCGACCGTACAGACGGGTCGTTCGCCAGGAGTTGCAAGAGTCAACCTGAGTCAACCTGACCTGCTGGGGCGTTCGCTCGTAGTCTGACAGGCGCTGGCAAAGGATAGGGTTAGTAATAGGGCTATGGCTATGAGTCATTGACCGGTGGTCGGCGTAGCTTGGATGAACTTGTTGGGTGTTGCATGTCTTTGCTTCAATGTGGCTTAATGGCTTGTGTTTGGCATCTTGCTAGGAAGGAGTTTGCAAAAACTAAGTCGGCATGATGTGGTGATTGATCGAACTCGGCATGGGCCGTTTTTCTCATGATTGTTGTCCACGGTAAATATACGGTTTGCCAGTGCCTGCGCACAAACACCAAGTGTGATGCGCGCGTCAGAGGCAGCTTGAGCATGCACCCATGCAGCTGGTGTCCGCGATTTTGAAGGATCCTCAAGCATGGCATTGTAGGCACGATGCACGACGCATCAATTCCCAGTTAGCGCAGCAATCAAGAGACGGAGTGATCAGGGGGGCAAGCCGTGGCAGGGTTGCTGAGGATGTTTTGACAGCGGGTGGCAACAGTTATATAATACAGTGGCCAGATGCATCATGAGACTCCCGGCCTGAATCATCTACGTAGCTGGTCACGTGCTCGATGGGGTGGGAGTGGATTTCTCGCAGGTTCCGCAAGGCGAGGCCAAGAGGGTTTGACCACTTCTTTTTGGGTGAGGCTTGCATGAAGATATAGATATTATTGTCGTTATTGTAATACAATCTGAATGTCAAATATGTATCTTCCACAGCCAGGGTGCTGAAGTCTTACGGATGTAGCTGCCTGAGGTTTCGTATGGGTGGTCTTTTAAGCCTCAAAGTGAGTGGATGATGCGCGTCCATGCCCTGCAAACACCACTCCTTTGAATCTGCTGATGTCCTGTGCCCACCGGCAGGGGCACCGGGGCACCCCATAAATTTGGGCACGTTAGCACCGGTGCGATATTTGCCGTAAGCTTGGCTCAGAGAAGGCGACACGTTACTGGGGGTACAACGTTCTAAGCTGCCCATGTCGAAGACTCTGAGGCCATGTGGATCCGGAGGGGTGCAAATCCGCGGATCTTTGCGATGGCGCACTGTAGATTGGTCCAATGTGTTCTTTAAACAACCAGGCTCACTTGAGCTTGTTGGTTTTGAGTCTTGTTCCTCTTCGGCCTCGGTTGGATTCGATTGAATGCCAGAATTTGTGTGATGTTCGTTGCACCTGTGGCAACTTGATCAGATGACTTCGAACACATGAGCTATTTCTACCAAACTCATCCAAATTCGTAGCGCACTGAAAGCTGGCTGCACTTGGACAAGAAGTGGACAACGAAACTCCCCTTACCTGCGTATGATTGGTGCAGGTATTTCAAGTGAGCGACTGCTTAGAAGCCGTTCCCTCCCAGAATCTCAGGGTGGAATCCGGATGAATGATGACGAATGAAGACAATCCTTTTGAAAGAAGCTCAAGCTAGGCACACCCGCAAACGGTGAACGTGGAGCAACATGGACGATTGGAAAGCGCACGTATATGCTACTGATGTTCGAATTTGAGGTTCTATGCACACTTTCAGGGGGGGTGTCCTTTGTTTCGTGATGTTTCGTGATACTCACCTGCAAAGCTGATGCGGCGCCATTTGGTGGAGGACGGACGCGCAGATCGTTGAAACTCGTCCACATATTTGGGTTGCTGCGTCAGGACCAGGGGGGGTATAGTGAAGTATAGTGTCCAACTGTCACATCTCAGGCTCAGGCTTTTTCTAAGAATTCTTGAGCTTGCTAACTTTAAGTACTTGCAAGCACTGGAGAACATAGATCAAGGGTATTGACCAAAACTGGGGCTCGATCAGATCGGACAGACCAGTCTATCGGCTCATCGAAGAGCACCCTTCACGCCACGCACGGAACGCGCTGCACCGGTCGAACGCCGGGCGGCACCGCAGGTGTGTCCTGACCGTCCTGGCCTGTGGCCTCATGGCTGGCGTGCTGCTGTGCACACGCACCGCACGCGGGCCAGGGCAACGCCGGCTCCGGGGCGTGCAGAGATGGGATTTGTGACTGGGCAGAGATGGGATCACAGGGGCGTGGTGGGGAGAAGGAACTGGAGACTGGTGGAGAAGGAGAGCTATGGAGGGTGAAGAGTTGCTTGTTTCTTCTTGAGGAGGTGGAGGGGGAAACAATTATTAAGCAATTCCACTGACAAGTGGGTGTTCTCCATTTAGCAAGTGGGTGTTCCCACAATCCATGGATTCACAGACCCATGACCCAAGCACTCTTTTTCCCTTCTGCCATCCAACACGGTTCAATGTTGGCAATCAGCCTGGCAGTTGACTAGAACAGTGCAGTGAATGCTTCATTGGAATTCACATAGTAGGCACAAACAACATCATATTGGTCCACTGAGCACGCCTTTTCCCGCTCAAATTTCCCCTTGTTGCATGTGATCACAACGATTAAGCAGCAATGTCCAATTGCCACTGAACTTTGAATCTCATCAGATTCCTCAAGGTCAAATTTCAAAATAACTCTAAGCCGGCAGAACATAGTCCTGTGCCACCGGCACACCAGCCTCCCTCAACTCCTTAAGACACTTCCGACGCGCAGCCACACCAGCTGCCCGCCGTTCTTCGCTGGTCTTGTTTTCAGGGGCTTTAAAGCCACAGCAGTAGGCCTAGTTCTGAGAAGGGGAGTGCAGCAAATGAGGAACATTCAGAAAATGAGAGCCCAACACTGTGGAGCTTCTTCTTCAGCGACTCTGTAGTCCAAGTTTCCTGGATAGTATGTTTGGTATTGTTTGGTTGTAATCAAGCAGGAAAAAACAAGCAAGCTAAAATACAATCAATCCTTCTTCTTGCTGCTCTTCTTGCTTTTTGCTGCCTCAGCCTTCTTGGTCGTCTTGTTGGTCTGCTTCTTTGGCTTGGCCTTGCCTTTCGCGTGAACTTTTGGCGTTGCAACTAAGAGTGGAGGAGCAGAAGAAGAAGGCCCCTGATTGATAGTAGTCTCCTGGCTCTCCATTGCGCTTGAAAATTCCTGCCAGGCAAGTAGTAAGAGGGTAACGCGTATGAACAAACTAGAAAATCAGGCCTCGGATAGATTGCGAGCAGCTGAAACCTACATAGCGAATACAGATGAATACAGTAAGGGTTTGAACTCTGAAGAAAATAAAGGTCCCATGCCTCCGGGTCCTTAGGGTGTTCTTCCACAGCTTCCTCCATCTCTTCCAAATGCGCCTAAACAGTACCAACACGGCAGCTTAGTCAGGCCTATTTAATTTCACTATATTTCACTAATGTTGCAAAGCAGAACCAAAAGCAAACAACTTTGACCTAGCCTCAGGTGAGAAACCAAGACGGAGCGTAGGTGAGGAGCAGATGTGCTCATCAACTCCACCACCTGAACAGGTTTAAGGTAACCCAAACCAATCCTGCCAACAAACGAACCCCACCTGGGAATGTGTCGCTCTTCATCATACTCTCCGGGGCAGTCTTCAGGGCATCATCCATCGGGTACTCCAAAGTATCAGCTCCCCCTTCCAACGTGTCCACCGCCTCCTGGGTAGCCTCGCCTAAAAGCAAGTAACCATCCTCACAACAACCATGGCTGGGTTCATCCAATTCTGTCTCCAATGAATCTCCCCCAAAAAGCTGACTCTCATTTGGCGTAGCAGGACTCCGGGGCTGGGAATCATTCATGAACTCCATTTCAATCGCGTTGGACCTGCGAAGACGACTTCGTGGGTTTGGCTCCACAGCTGAACTCATGAGTGGCTCAGCTGGCTCCACCACTGGCGCTTGAATGCATCGCCGCTTTTGCACTTGAGCCTCCAAGATAAGGTAATCATTCCCCAACCCTAAGCAAACCCAATCTGATTTGATGTCACCTTTAACAACTTTACTCAGACAATGACATGAAGTGAAAGTCTAATTTGCACCTTGAGGCTGGCAAGTGGGTCAGGCTTCTTTTGCGGAGTCGCCACGGCCTAACAAAACAACCAAACAGGCTAAGCAAAACGATATGGCATGGCAGGCTTGCCTCCACAGCGTGAGCAGCAGCAAATGTATCATTTTTCTTTGTCTGCTTCCTCCCAGGTTTCCTCGGATCTTTCTTCGCTTGGTTACCTGACAACAAAACCAAATCGAGCTAAATAGTATCTGGTCTATACCCCGGCCTTTTCGGCCAGATTTTGGTTTGGGCTGTCCAGCAGGGCGCTTCCGTGGCTCGGCTTCATGACCACCACCATCATCAGTGGCGTCATCCCCATCTTCATCATCTCGTTTTTTGGGTTTCTCGGGACCATCTGGCGATTTTACATCAGCATCATCATCGTCATCATCATCAGTCTTTTTGGATTTAGCCTTGGTCTTGGCCTTGTTTCCCCTGCCCTTTCCCTTGCCTTTCCCTGTGTGTTTTGTTTGGGCGGGTGGTTTGTCGGTGTTTGCATTTGTTTGTTCATCTGATGAAGAACCAGCAGCATTGAACTTTGGCGGTAATCCTGTGCCAACCGATAATGGACTCAGAAGTATGACTCACAAACCAAATGAAAATGCAAATGTTTAAGTGCAAATGTATGACTCACAAGCCAATTCGATCACACAATATCTAATGTTGGTCCTGCCTGAAACAGACGTCACTGCAGAAGATGATGCTGATGCCACTGCTTTGGTAGTGGTCGGCTGTCCACTCTGCGGAAGGGATGTACCAGCAGTAGTTTTGGGGGTAGTACCCGGAAAGGCTGTTTTGCTGATCTGAGACTCTGGGGTTTGCACTGACATCATTGCTTCAAGGTTGAAGGCCTCAAGAACTGGCAACGCTGGTGGTGTGGCTCAATCACGGTGAATGTTCATCAACTTCGTCCCGAAAAGCTAGGAATGGTAGCGTGCTACGTTCAATAACGTTCAATAGTTTCTTGAGATAATATGTTTTATTGCTTAATGAGTTGCTATTGCTTACTTCCAGCCATCAGCTTCATGTTTCAAATAATGTTTGAGAACTTAGACCCTGACTGGAGTATGATGACGAGCAGGTGCAGCAGCATCGATCAGCTCACAATCAGAGTCCGACATTGGTCCAAGCTGGATGTCCCTTTGTTAGTTTGGCCTGAAACCCTGCAAGAAAGCAACACACCCCTGAAATCAACACACCTCTAAAGACAACAATCCCTTTCAATGTACCCTCGGTAGACTGCTCGATGGCCGCATGCGATGGTCCATCCTTTTTCAAGGCGCTGGGGTCTATACGACGTTTCTAGCACCTGGCATTGAAACGTTGAAAGCCGTACGCTCTTAATGAATCTTGCCTAATACCACACTATATCCAGAGTCGAGCTCAGTAGCTTGTTTTCCACTTGGTGGAAGGTTATGACATATTGTTTCATGACGCAGCACGGACTGCTTAAGAGCATATCCTTTCGGATCACCACCAGCGGCTCACTCGAGCACTTGCACTGGGCAGATATGGATAGACATAGATCTACAGTTGGTAGAGCATAAAGTTATCAATGGTTGTAATTGTGCAATCACTATGTATGTTTCCTGCCCTGTGCTCCTACATAAGCTGAAGAACTTGCGAAGGCTCCAACTCGAGCTGTCCGTTCAAAACGCATATAGGCCTTTGCGGCATCAAAGTCGTGGTGCCGTTTGCCACTTCCAGCCTGGAGACCCAGGAATGATTGGGGAATATTGGGGAGGGCAAGCTCACTGAATGAAAAAGGGTGATACAACTATTACAAAACAATTGAGGTCGAACTGATTTGTTTCAGTGGCTCATTGAAGGTTTTTGTTCAGCTTACATTAAGCAAGTCATAAAGTCTAGAATCACAGTCTGGCCTCACTCGGAATCCAATGCGCAATGCTTGGCAATTCAACAGCTTCTTGAGATTCAGCTTTGCACCAAAGGTGGTTGGCGATGCCTGGTTCAACACCCCGCTTCTGTGATTTTTTGTTTGGGGGAATATGTAGTGCAACATTCTGTGTTTGCAAGATTATCTTGCCTTCTTCGGGATGTTCTTTTGCTTTTTCTTTGGCGGTTCCACTGCATCATCTTGCTGCTTGGCATCAATAGCAAAGCACAAAGCCTTTTCGGACTTGATGGAGTCTTGCGGGAGATCAACAGTGTGGTGACTGTAGCCAACACGGACCTGCCAACATTTGCAATGAGCCCCTGGGGTTTCCACTATCCACTGACTTGAGAACCCTCTAAAAATCCAACCAACCAGGCCCAATAACATTTGTATAGTAAGTTTATAAAATTACTTATTAGATATCGTAGATATGTCAAGCAGTTCTACATTGAGACCTGGGAGGTTGTAAAAACGACTCCCACTTCCCGCCTCTCCAGCGTCTTCCAACATGGTCAAGAGCTGACGGAATGGAGTGGGCTTCTCTAAGCAAGCCACTCCCTGCAGATGGCTCAGAACCTTTTTTCGCTCAAGAACTATCGGTGTTTCAAATGAAACTGCTCCCGATATCCACTTGGAGTCACTTTCCATGGTTTCAACTGCATCCGCTCCATCACACCATGTTCCTGAACCGAAGGAGCAGAGCTCCCTGTGGTGAAGGAGGGTGGCAGATTCAGAATTGGTCGTCACGAAAATTCGATCTTGGTCCACCACCATGCTGACCTGCGAGTTGATCACAAGGGATGACCTTGGCAAGAAACATGACATGGCTCATGAAATCCCAATATGATGAGTGGAGCCAACCCGAGCAAAGCCGAGTTGAGGCCAAGACGTGTTTGGAAGCGCCACCAACTTCTCCACGGTCAGAGGCTCATCTGTGGGGATGACGACAGTTTTTGGCTGCTCCACGGGTTCAGGGCGACGGGGGCTTGCCATGGTGTCTTTCAAACGAACCCCTTGAGGATTGTATTTGGCATTGTGGGCAGCAACGAGCTCCATAAACTCCTCCATCTCACCAAACTGCTCAAAAAAGGATTCTTTGATGATGAGACCACCTTTTGGTTCTTGGCTGGTGACATTGAAGGTGGTCTTCTGCATTGACCCATCAGGTCGTGAGTTCTGCAGCTCAGCAACTAGTGGCGCCATATCAGGGAAAGA